CCCAGCATGGAGGGGAGGTTGGAGGGGGAAAGGATCCGTTAGAGTCCAAGCAAGAGATGAGGATTAAACCAAGGCGGAGGCACTGAAGACGGAAAAGATACGATGGATTTAAGGGGAGAGACAGGGGTGACAGTAATAGGGCTCTTTTTCTCCTGTGGGGTTCACCTCAGCTTCAGATTTATTTGCCACAAAAATAACTTTGCATCTGTGTCTGATCGTGGCTGAAGAATCATGGAGACCTGGTTTTCAGGTCAAGCTTCCAGGCAACGCAAGTCAGATGAGAAGACCTCACTTCAAATCATGTCTGTCTGCTGTGGGCGGGTCGCTTACATTCTCTGAAACTCAGCCACATCCCCTGCTCACTGAGAATCATGTTATCTCCTTCTGAGCCTTTATGTCTCCACCCACTTGAGTGACGGTATAGCCTCATCTCTCTCCATCTTTCCTAACAGTAATAACTACAGCATCAGCCTCCACCGTTTGCTGAGCACTTACTAGGTGCCAGGCACTATTCTAACAAGCTTTAGCTCATTTAACCCTCACACCACCTTAGGGAATAGGCACTGTCCTCATTCTGCAGATAAAGAAACCGAGGCAAAGAGAGATGCAGTAAGTTGCCAACTTCTCACAGAGGAGCAGCATAAGGCTGTGTATTCAGTAGAGCCGCCTCTCATCATTGCCTCCGCACCTTCCTCCCCTTGCGGACAGGAGGTCCGGGCTCTCCCTCCCTCGTGCTCCAAGATAACCACAGTCCTGCCTCCTGGCACCACTTGGACAAAGAACAAGCTCAGCTCTCTGCTGTCATTGCCAGGTGCTGCCACAAGGTGTCAGTATTGAAAGCCAATCCTACAAGGTTGGTTCAGGTGGTCTGTTGGTGGGGAGCTCTTATTGGTTCAGATTTCTATATAAACTACAGTGGGGTCCCAAGGCTTAATTTCTTCTATGTTCTCACCCATGTGCTTTGATACTGTTCTTCAGATCACACTGGGAGTGGGGGAGGGGGACAGGGGGAGGCGAGGCGGTGGGGAGCTTTGAATCAGTGGGTCTTCCAGCCCCTTGTTGGTTCCAAACCCACAACCTGTTTCCTTTCTGGTGGGTCCCTTTTGGAATCCTTGGGGTGCTTTCCTACCATAATGCCACAGGCAGGGCCATGCCAAGGGACCTCACTAGGGCCACCAAACTTCAAGTTGCAGGGAGCAACTGGACTTGGGGTCAAAGTGTGTTTACACACAGGAGGCCCTCACTAGGCAACTTGTACAAATTGGCTCAGCCCCACTACATCTGACTACTACAGGGAGAAATCGCATTTTCTAAACACACACACACATTGCCCTGGTTGGTTTTGTTCAATGGTTAGAGCTTTGGCCTGAAGACTGAAGGGTCGTGGGTTTGATTCTGATCAAGAACATATACCTGGATTGCAGGCTGGATCCCCCACTGCAACCGAGGGCGCATGCAGGAGACAACCAATCAATGTGTCTCTCTCACACTGATGCTTCTCTCTCTCCCCCCTCCTCCTCCCCTCCACTTAAAAAAAAAATCAATGGAAAAAATATCCTCAGGTGAGGATTAAAACACACACACACTAAAAAACAAACAAACAAAACAAGACACCCTGTTGTATGTTTTTTGCAGGATAAGGGGTGTCAGTTCTCCTGCCTGTGCATAGCGAACAGGGGCTCAGGTGACTGCTGCAGAGTGTACCGTTCAGTTCACTGACAAGCAAAGTGCTAGAAGCTTCTTTATGTCTAAGGAGACCATCACACTCTCTGTGGCCTTTAGGAACCCTCTTCTATACGGAGTAAAAGCTGCCCACAGCAGAGGTGAGGACGGGCCAAGGCCTCATGGAGAGCTGCGAGGTTTCTTTGTGGACTTATTTCAGGTTGGCAAGTGTAGTTTTCTCTTTTGGGTAGAGACGATCGGAGGCTGAAATCTACTATAAACACAAACCTGTTCATCCAACAGAGGGCCCCAAGGCTGATCCTCGGCAAAAGCAGGGGATGCCGCAGAAAATCAGATGCATCCTATGGTGTCACCATAAACAGTCACAGGGATAGCAAAGAAAAAGACCAAATACTCGGCTAAATTTGAATTTCCTAAAAACAACCAATAATTTTTTAGGATAAGCATGTCACCTGCAATATTTGGGACAAACTTCCTCTAAAAAATTATTGGTTATTTATCTGAAATTTAAATTTAACTGAACATTCTGTATCTTAGCCATCAACCTTAATTCTGAAGTATAGCCATAATCAGAAGCAAATCGAAGTCCTAAGATAGCAAAGTCAAAGGTGCTAAACTTCAGTTAAAATTCACTTTGCTACGAAATCCTGACCAAGCTTTCTTTAATCTAAAACAGTGGTTCTTAAGCCGACTACACATTAGAATCACTGAGGAGTTAAATATATAGACGGCTTCCTGCGATGGGCGGGGCCACGGTTCCCTGTCCCCAATGGGCGGCCGAGCCTCTGCCAGACCCCTCCTAGGGTCCTGGACAATTGCAAATCAAATAAGGGAAAAGCTGAGGGCTTGACAACTGGATTCATGAACTTCAGATTTATTCAGTTAAATAATTGTAGGCTTGATTTCCATTTCAAATCTCTTCAAATTATCTAAATTGAAAAGCTTCAGCTCAGTGACAATAGAATCTATGGAGGTCTAGACATATTGGGAAAAAAACAACAACCTTTCAAATCTCACACATCTCCACTTAAATGGAAATAAACTGAAATATATCAGCACCTCAGGAGCTTTGAGAAAGCTGGCATGTCTGAAAAGCCTGGGTCTATTTCACTCTGAGTGCCTTCCAGTTCCTGCCCCAGCTGGCCTACCTGGATGGCTGTGACCCACCTGGATGGTTGTGACCCACCTGGATGGCTGTGACCCACCTGGATGGCTGTGACCCACCTGGATGGCTGTGACCCACCTGGATGGCTGTGACCCACCTGGATGGCTGTGACCCACCTGGATGGCTGTGACCCACCTGGATGGCTGTGACCCACCTGGATGGCTGTGACCCACCTGGATGGCTGTGACCCACCTGGATGGCTGTGACCCACCTGGATGGCTGTGACCCACCTGGATGGCTGTGACCCACCTGGATGGCTGTGACCCACCTGGATGGCTGTGACCCACCTGGATGGCTGTGACCCACCTGGATGGCTGTGACCCACCTGGATGGCTGTGACCCACCTGGATGGCTGTGACCCACCTGGATGGCTGTGACCCACCTGGATGGCTGTGACCCACCTGGATGGCTGTGACCCACCTGGATGGCTGTGACCCACCTGGATGGCTGTGACCCACCTGGATGGCTGTGACCCACCTGGATGGCTGTGACCCACTGGATGGTTGTGACCCACCTGGATGACTGTGACCCACCTGGATGGCTGTGACCCACCTGGATGGCTGTGACCCACCTGGATGGCTGTGATCCAGAGCATTGAGAGGCCCCTGACTCAGCTGCTCAGTGGAAGGGGTGGACGGTGTGGATGAAAAAGAGGATGCCCAGGGCAGGATGGGAGCCGTGCAGTGAGCCCTGCATGTGCAGTGTTTGCACTCCAGGAGAAAAGCCCTGAAATGGTGAATCTAGCAGGAGGTACGGGCTACACAATGTCCAGCTGTCATCCTTTCTCTGAAGAGAGAGAGCGGGCAGAAAGGGAAACATTTGCTCTCCAGTCATTTACTATCCTTTGGAATGTAGTCTCTATTTTTCCAGGTTTCATTTCCCATTGAAATGAAAATGAATTTTCTCAGAGAGTAAACTAGAAAAGTCCCCACTCCAGAATGCAATGGTTTGGCTTGGGGAGGTGAGGAGTTTGGAGAAGTCTTACTGCCCTTTAATTGGGAGTAGGTGGCTTGAGTCCTAACACCCTCTAACTTCCTTTAATTCAGGCATTAATGATTTTACTCAGAAAGTCCCTATGGTGCAGAGACATGAAAATATTCACCTCCTGACAGATACAGACTTAGCGGATACAGTGAGAAGGTCTAGCACAGATGTTTTACTGGTGCCCCCACCCCACCCCAAAAAAAGAGAGAATGGGAAGAGAGGCCAATGTGAAGAAATAGTGACTGAGAATTGTTCAGAACAACAAAAAATGCTATGTTCTGAATGTGTCCCCCATCCCCACCCCCACCCTCACCAATTTCATATGTCTTCATTCTAACCCTCAAAAATGTCAATCTCCAGAGGGAAAGTAGGGGAGGGTGGGGGTAAGGGGAAGAGATCAACCAAAGGACTTGTATGCATGCATATAAGCCAAACCAATGGACATGAACAACAGAGGGATGAAAACATGAGTGGGGGGCGGGAGGTTGGGGGTTAATTGGGGGGAATGAGGACACACATGTAATGCCTTAACCAATATGGAAATTAAAGATTTAAAAAATAAAAAAATAAAAAATAAATTTTAAAAAAATGATGGTATTAGGAGGTGGGGTGTTGGGGGGGGGGTGCTAAGCCTCATGAATGGAATTAGTGCCTTATAAACAAGGCTCCAGAGGCTCCCCTTAGCCTCCTCTACTGTGTAAGGAGAAGGTGCAGCTGGGAACCAGGAGGGCCCTCGCCCAGCCGTGTCTGGCCATGGTCCTGGACTTCCAGCCTCCAGACAGCAAAACTAAATGTCTGTTGTTTATAAGCTCCCCAGGCTGTGCTGCTTTGTTACCGCAGCCTGAACGGCCTGAGAGAGATGCCCAACCACATGTTTAAGAAGCCAAAGGCATCCCAGGCAGAAAGTTTTAAGAAGAAATCCACATCCATATGCATGTGATGGACAATTATGACAACTGCTTGGAGGCTCTGGTTCTGGAAGAACTAGGGTTCAATGGAGACATCATGGGCCAAGGGGACCATCAGACTCTCATAGTTAAGACACCTTTAACAATGACCAGAGAAGAATGGGGAAAGAAGCTACTGGAAACTTTAGAGAGCAGAGCCCTTGAAGCAGGCTCAATCCTTAAGCCCGAGGAGTGCTTATACACCGTATGATTTCTATACAATGGAACCTTTATACACTCAGTTACTCAGTTATTTGTTCAATAAAAGCAATGCTGCTTATGTACTGTCTATGTTAGACAAGTTTCAGAAACCAAGCACAATCATCGCCTTAAGTCAGTGTGGGGCCTTGTCTAGAATACGCCAGATAATTCAAGGCCACTCTAAGCACCACCCTAATCAGGGTGCTCAAGGCCAAGATACTTCATGCAGGTGCAAGGTTGGTGCAAGCTTTACACTGCACAGACGTGCCTTTCTATAGCAAAATACTGATGGCAAAGTGCCTCTTTTGAGTTTGTTTGAGCGTGTATATAAGCTGTCACTGACCAGCCTACTACAGCTGCTTTTGTGTGCAATAAAGCACGTCCCATTCGCCTGCTTGTGCACACGTGTTCTTCCAATTTCCCTCACTGAGGAGGGTCAAGTCCCTGGCTGAGGAGCTCGCACCCAACAGTCAGGCTGTTAGCCTAAGGTCTATCACAGAGGCTAGTAAAGCCTTCCTTGACCAAATTATCACTAGCATTTTGGCCCTTAAATCATGTTGGCCTTAACATTCTAGATTTTCTTCATGGCTGTACTGTTGATGCTGGGGATAAGCTGAGAGAGCTAACATGGGGAAGGAAATTACATGGCATCACCATGCCTTTCATAGCAGAACAATTTCAACTCTGTAACTCACTTCCCAATCTGTGAGAAGATCAATAATCTTCGGGCCTGCGTCTTTGCTGGAGCCACGGTGCTGGGTTAAAAGGGGGAATAGGCTCACGAACATTTGTTAAGATAAACCGAAAAGCAATTACAGGCCTACCAGAGGGAAAGATAGGCAAGACGGCTGAAGACCTGGTAGCCACACGTGACTGGATTAAGTTCCACAGATCTGTTGGCCCAAATTCCAAGCAGTTGTTATCTCGCCTGCTTGAGGAAAAAGATGTGATTCCACCTGATGACCCAGCAGTGTCGGGTGGAACACTGACCCGCCGGCTGCCAACAGCCTCAGATGATCGATCTGGACTCGCTGGATCCTTGAACATCACATTGGCCCGTGTCATGTTTATTACTGACTACCCGGCAGACTTTGCCAAGTTGCAATGTGACTAGACACTACATTTTCAAGCAGCATTCATACATGGTTTTAACCTCCTTGCCTCAGTACTACGCGGTCGTGAGCTTCCAGGAGAAACATTCCTCCTCACAGTCATGCAACTCCTGCACTCTGGAGACCTTAGGAAACGAGTTTAGCTTAACTCGGAGCCCTATTTACCCAGGCATCCCTTTTTCAAAACTGCCAACTGAGACGACTACTCACATGCCGCCAGGGGAAGGCGATCCAGAGATTGCAGCATCTCCTAGGCTGGCAGAAGAGATATTCTTATCATTTGCTCAAGAAGGTAAAGAATTGGGTACTTTTCTTGATTCAGGTCAATCGCCCAAACACTTGGAGAGGTTGTCCTAAGCTATATTGCCCCTCTCCCTGGACTACTAATATTTGTGTCGTTTTGGTACCTGGGGCAACAACATAGAGGTCAAGTCTCTTCCATAGCCAAGTATATCAGAGTTCCCTCTTACATACCAAACTCTTCTCCAACCCTCAGATGGGTTCCTAAGGCCATTTATAGTCTACTTGATGTCAGTGAGACCTTTGATCTAGCATTTAAACTCAAGTTGACTCCTGTTATAGCTTATCCAGACATATCACTCAGGGAAGTGCTCATTTCTATGTTACTTCTTGTAGGGATTGCGACAACAAATCCTAATGTCACCCGGCTAATGAGGAGGCTAAACCTGACTAGGGTTGATAGTCAATGTGTGCAAGCGCCTAACTTAGACTCCTTACCAGGGATGCTGAAGCCCCTCAGTGTAATCAGAACGACAATCACTGAGGTAAAGAAAACCATAGAACTGTCCTTGTCAAGCTCACCACAACATAAGGTCCTTGCTCACGAGCCCCAACTGGCACTCGTCCGTGTGCCTGAAGGCATATGCAGCAGTGTATGTGCCTGAAGTACTTGTTCTCTGTTGTGATACTCCTTCTGAGGTCATTCTAGACCAGCCGTGGGCAAACTACGGCCCGCGGGCCGGATCCGGCCCGTTTGAAATGAATAAAACTAAAAAAAAAAAAAAAAGACCGTACCCTTTTATGTAATGATGTTTACTTTGAATTTATATTAGTTCACACAAACACTCCATCCATGCTTTTGTTCCGGCCCTCCGGTCCAGTTTAAGAACCCATTGTGGCCCTCGAGTCAAAAAGTTTGCCCACCCCTGTTCTAGACCCATGCCATGTTTGTAAGATAGTTATGCTAGGTATCTGGAGAGAGTTATTGAGGAAGATTTGTGTGGTGCTACACAAAGAAAATGTGTTGTCCGACTTCTCACGTGCCACCCTTGCTAGCGCTCAGCACTACTATGATCGTGCCAATTCCGAATTCAAGGAGCGATCACACCCTGTGCCTTCGAAGTGCTGCACTGGTGGGACCCTCCAGACTTGGCTTGTCATAGGGTTACTCAGGGATAAGCCCATGGATCTGCCAAGAGCTTCTATGCATTTGGAGCCTGGTGATCTGTGTTCCTCAGTGTGTCCAAAAACTGACGGTATTTTCTGTGCCACTGTGGAGGCCGCATTGTCAGGCTGTAGTCTTACCCAATTGTTGCCAAGCATGCTCTCTCGGTTTGGATGGTCTGATTTCTCACGGGAAGTTCTTATTGCTCCAAGGCTAACCCCACTGATCCAGCAACTCCATTGCTATTTGGAGATGCTTCGCAGGGCAGTGAAAATGAGGCGGAGGAATCCTCAGACTTATGTTTGCTTGCCCACGGCTTCTGGGGGTGTTCAGGTTTCATTGTTTGGGGAAGGGCTTTGTATATGAGTTCAATCTGATGTCCTTGACACTGGCTGGGTTGTTCCACCTTCTACTTTGGCTCCAGATAGGCTCTCACCACTGCTGTGATCTAGTAACCATTCGAACCATTTAAGAAAAAGAGATTGCCCTAGCTGGTTTGGCTCAACGGATAGAGCGTCGGCCTGCGGACTGAAGGGTCCCGGGTTCGATTCCGGTCAAGGGCATGTACCTGGGTTGCAGGCACATGCCCAGAAGGGGGCGGGCAGGAGGAAGCTGAATCGATGTTTCTCTCTCATCGATGTTTCTAACTCTCTATCCCTCTCCCTTCCTCTCTGTAAAAAAAAAAAAATCAATAAAATATATTTAAAAAAAGAAAAAAAAAGAAAAAGAGATTATAATGTCTGCTCATCCCTGCATATCTCCGTGCAGATATACCAGCCCCTATATCCGTGGTCCTCAAAATGTCAGTCCCTTGGGACGTGGGAGACTTGTTTAAAAACTCATCTTCCCAGGTCCATCCCCACTCGTAGGGGGTGCCTGGTACCTGGCATTTAAAATAAGCATCCTAGACGTCCCCAGACCACAATTCGGAAAACGTGCCCTCTTCCATTTTTTTTTCTCCAGGACCAGGATCAGGCCAGGTTTGGCCATCTGGTAAGAGGTCTGAGATGGCTGGAAGTGGCACTGGCCTATCTATCCGAGGCAGAAAGTGTAATGTGCTTTCAGAGAAAGGATACCTAGGTTGGAATGCCCGTTTAACTGTCTCTGATCCAGCCCCGCCCC